CTTATTTCGGACGCTTAAAATTTTTGACGCTAACAAATTTTGGACGGTTTTATTTTCGGACACTTTTCTCGTCTGAATGCCAGCTGACCCTACCTTCGCGAGACACTTGGTTATTTATCAACTCGCTCTGGTGAGTTTGTAAAGTTGACATTTCGACCGTGACAAGGTTTGCTTCATTCGTGACCGCTTTTATCAATGTCACGCAACGGTGGTTGCCCAAACTACAGTTGAATAGGTTACCAATTTCTTTACTATTTGGTATCTGTAATTAATGAATTCTTGAATGCATTGATTTTCTACCAGGTATCAGTGGAATGGAATGCCTGTTTCTATGGTTACCACTCAGCCATCAGAGCTGTGTCGAACAGTCCCTCCCTGCAACCATTGCGGGGCAAGTAGAGTGTTTGAAGTTCAATTTATGCCTGCATTGGTTGGTCATTTAAAAGTCCTAAGAGATCTTCGTCCCAAAGATATAGCACAGGAAAACGAGACAGTTATTGAAAGATTTACACAAGAAAACAACAAATGCGATTTGCAGGGATTAAATTACAGTTTCCACGCAGAGACCGGTGAAATTCTTACAGAGGATACCATTGTACAGCAAAAGCAAAGAAAAACATTCATGGCGGCTGTCAATCAAAAGTGTGACGTCACAATCGAGTTTGGAACAGTGATGGTTTTCACGTGTTCTAAAAGTTGCTGGACGGAGATAGAAAATGTTGTAGGAGAAGGTATTTACTTTGAGGAATTCTGTTTAGTGGAAGCCGACCCTGACGCTACGCTATTTGAATAAAAAAATGTTCACTTACAACAGACCTGCCCACTTTATTTCTGTTGTGTTGTCGCCTTGGCTATTCAGCGGCACCCAACGACGGTTTTCCCAGAAATACTTTAAAACCGTTTAATGCTGTGTAGGTTAGTTTTAGGCTGCGCTATACGATGTTTATCTGTTCAGTCATTCTAGGGAAACGTGAGACTTCCCGAATTTATATTTATTAGGGCTTTTTTTGTCAATTTCCCGAAAAATCTTCGGTCTTTTTGCCTTTCTGAAAATAATGGTGGGGCTTTGGTGGGATTTCTTGAAGGCTTTTTCGAAGTTACTTGTATTAAACCTCGTTAGAATGCACTCTCTGCAGTGCGTGAAAGTGTCGCGGTAAATATAGACAGGAAAATACGTAGTAAAATCTGCTACCATCGGGAACCATTTTGGTAGTGTGCGCCCATGTTCTCACACGGGGGATCTTCATGGAGCACTGAGAACCCAGGATGCGTATCCTTGAGCCGTCAAATATGGTTGCTTTTTGTTACTGGTGTAAGAAATGCAACATCGCTATCAATCCATGCTATAGTGGGATCGTTTGTGTATAGATCAATAAAGAAACTGCTCCAGAGTTGGCGATTGTAACCCGGAGATTTCTTTGAAGCCGTAAAATTCAAAATACTTACGTCTTCGGGGGCCACCTCAAGTTTGCGATGTGGAAAGTGTTGCTTGATTTGATTTGTTAAATTATTGGCAAAAATATGATCCTGATCCGATTCTTCGTCAAGAACTACGACTGTCTTCCCAAACGATGCAGGCCAGAAGAGTACAGCAGTCCTGAAAAAAATCACAGTAAAAACGGGTCCTGTGTTGTTTTAGTTTGCTCGCCATCCTTACGAACAGCGTAATCGATGAGATTGGAGGAGCTCGATTATGAATGCGATTTCGAATTTCTTTGGCAGCGGTATGGAAATACCCATTTTTGTCGCTCTCGTACAGCATTTTGATACTGAAAATAACGCAGGTGAGAGCGATCAATTTGAATTCATTACTCCATCCAAACCTTCCGATCGTCGAGAATTCTGCTTGCATCTTTGAGCGTTTCTTGTCATCTAGAAGTGATGTGAAGTTGATGTCAAGCAACCTGATCGGCACCACTGGAATGTGCTTAAATGCCCCCGCAGGGTGATGTAAATGCGTATTATAACATAGCCTTATCTAAGCGCGCTTTCTGATTGGCTAACGCGCTCGACCATTTGCCCGTGCCTTGCACGCTCACGTCAGTTTGTTTATTTGTACTTTGTCTCGGCAATTTTTGTCATCGATGTTGACACTTTATAAAACACAATTCCTATTTTTCTTTTAAAATATGGAAAAATCTAATGATTCTTCCGGAGATGGGGAATATTATTCCCGTGAGCTAGCAAATTTCGAGCTTTATTTTTTTGCCGGGTCTCCACCTAAGAGATTTGCGAATTAAAACGAGCAAGAGTTGAATCAGCTGGTTCAACAAAGGCACTCGGCACTCGGAGATCGACCAAAAAAACACAATAAACTGGTAGTAATGCATTGCGGGAATTTTACAGAGAATTTTCTAGCGATTTGATGGCAATAAAATTCAGCTCAACCTTTCATTGTAAAACTTTTCTGGCATTGAAAGCCGTTTAAATTAATGCTTTCGACAAACAAAACTTGAACATGAGAGCTTTAACAAATCTCTGTTTGTGAAGTCTTACATACGAAATCCTTCTGTT